CAAGCGCTCGCTGTCTAGGTCTGCCCTTTCTGCTCTGCGCTACCATATTGGTCACCGTTCGGCGCGCTCCTCCTCTCCTTTTTCCTGCGGCCGCGCGCTCTATGGCTCCGTCGTCGATGTGCCAGGCTTTCTCCGTATAGAGGAGGCTATGGCTAAACCAAAGAACTTCGACAGCTCAAATTCGGTGACTGCGAGGGCGCAGCCTTGCAGCTCCGTAAAACCTATGGTGCTTTCATGTGCGCTAAAGCGCACATGAAGGCTCCCTAGTAAAACTTACACCCAAGGGGCTAAGCTTGGCAAGCGCTAAAAAAAAAAAAAAAATAGGGCAGATTACGGGATAGAAGCTGAAGATACCTGTTAGTCATAAGGTCGCTGCTGCCACACCCATCGCCCGTCGCTCAAAATGGGGATTTTCTCGGCTTATCCTCTCAAAAAAAGCTGGTGCAAAAGGGGACCTTTCCCCTCGCCTCGCCGTGCTACAATATAAGATAGAACGGGGAAGAAAGAGGGCGAGGAGGACTTTCCGCGAGGCGGAAGAATATTTCTGCTGGACCCCCTTTAAGAGGACAACAAAGTTCAGTGTAAGAAACAATGAAAAATCGAGAGAATAAACTTTATTACACGACTCAAGTCCGAGTCTAGAGAAAGAAGTGAGCAATGAAAACCGGGCGGCACACCGGCAGCTTGGTTGGCCAGCATCTAAGAACTGTTCATAAAACCTTCTTTGGTAAAGGAAAATTACGTACTTCAGCTCCAGTGGAAATTGGTGCGCGGTCTGCTTCTGCGTGTCATCGCCGCGGGCGCCAACCACAAATTTGTTTTGCGCCGTAAGTATAGCCCTAAATTTTTTTCTTCGTTGTAAATTTGTTTTATAATATTTTCTCCATCTAGCCTGTTTAACAAAAAAAAAGATTTTTCCTTTGCATGTGTCCTTTAAGGTACCAGTGAAGACAACCAGCTGGCGTGAAATTTCTATCGAGCGGAAAATGAGCGTCACTTTCGTCATGCGCGTTCATTTCGATGTGGTGCAAAATGTGCGCGAAATAGCAGCTGATAAGGGAGCAAAATTTAGGTGTTGGGTCTGGAACACCTCCAGACTCAGCCGTGTTGGGGGCATCTCTCGCGAGTCATTACGTCAAAGGTCTTGCGCGTCGAACTGTAAGTGTGAGTTATCCATTTGAGGGAAACCTTGATTTCGCAGAACTATTATGCGTTAGAAATGTGCATCGTGTGAGTCAGCTATAACTATACTCCATCTCACTAGTTGAGCGCAGTACTTAGAATTTACGGGCGAGAAACAAATAAAAGTTCATTTTGTAAGACAAACGCGACGTGGAGACCCATAAAAGAGTCCCGCTAATGAGAGAGCTCCCCCTTCTCCTTCTCTTCAAGTGCTTGGGTTACTCTTTCAATCCTGCACCTTTGGTAACACTGCGTGCACCTAAAATCGTCTTCTTCCCGAAAATCCCGTGGCCTTCAGAATCTAGGGGTGCTACGCAAAAACGAGCGACACGTCACGGAAACGAAGGCGAGGAAGAAGGGAGGGGAGGAGGGGAAGGGATGGGTCTGGTCTCCACTCTTGGTCTCAAAACGCGTCTCAAGCGCGAGACACATGGACGGCAGAATCGTCCGATCCGACGTCCGATCCGACAGTCCGAACGCCGCTCCGAATCGCCGCACGCGACAGTTTGAGACACACGCTTCCGACCTTGCATGCGACACGACGATCCGTTCGGCTCCGCCCATGAGATCCAAGCATTCCAGCGAACGTCCGCGTTCACAGATCTCTGGTCCCAGATTGACGGTTTAGCTCGCACGAACGAAGTTAGAAGCTCGTTCTCGTTAGCGCGTGCATTTTTTGCCGGGGCCATCTTTCTTGAATAGGTCAGCGGAATCCACGCGTCCGGCTTCCCGGCGCCCGTCCCGTTTTCTTGTTCGTCCTGCCAGACCCATTACGTCATCATGACGTTCGCGCTAGCTGTGCTGTCATTGGCTGATTGCATCCGACAATCCGTCCGCCGTGCGAAACTATCTGGCGAGTTGGACGCACGTCGGATCGCCGATCCGACGTCTGAAGCGAATAAATTTTTCGGATCAGGCAGTCGTACTGCCGGATCGGACGTCGGATGGGACGGTTTTTCGCGCATGTGTCTCGCGCTTTAAAGCGCGAGACACATGCGCGAAAAACTTCACTTCTTCACTTCTTCCATGAACAGTGTCGCTGTATTCGTAGCACACCTAGACGGAAACGGTTGAGACTGTGCTCAAATAATATCTTTTGTGAGGTACTGCGCAGCGATTACACACAATGCTTCTAACATAAACATGCTGCTCTACATGTGTATTCACAAGACGCAATACAGTGTTCTCCCAACTTCATTAAAATGGGCATGAAAGCGCGTAACCGTCACTTGGTGAAATGTTTACCGTAGAAATTCGTTAATTTTTTTGTTTTTTTATGTCACAACAAGACTTTTTTGTGTCGCCTCCTCAGCGCTTCCACGTCGATTATTTTCGCGTTAGAGGACATCGCATACAGTGCGAAAGGAAACGGTACGATAGATGCTGCGTAGCCTCTCTTTGTGGACATTAATAAAAAAAAATGTATTTGTCTTCGCTTCGCACTGCACGTATCAGCACGGAAGTTCCTGCATGATTATAATGGCTTTAATTTCTTAAAAAAAAAAGGAAAACAATCTACAGTTATTTAAATTACCGAACCACAAAAATGTTGAAATTGCATAATTGCTTTCAGTACTTGCATCTATTTTTGCTCGCATAGTGAAGATTAGTTCAAAACATATCCGAAACGAAAAGCTGGTATGTGTATTCTCTAAGGTGTTACTTTCCTAGCGGCGTAACTTTCAAGAAGTGCTAATTTCGTGCATTGTGTATTCCTTGTTTTGAGCTGCAGGGCATTTTGAAGTGGAAATTAAGAAGATAAAACAGCATGATCCCCTTTGCTTTGCTAAACCAGATTAGCCGCACCTTCTGGCAACAATATGCCTTTGGCGGTTCCATCCACTGCCGAGCGTGAATGACGGAGCTTGCGTACTCTCTTGGAGCTGAAACAAACTCGGCGTCAACCAAAAATAGGAACGAATATATGAAAACAAACAAAACATCTCCGCTATAAACGACTTACGCGTCTGTAGAAATCGAAGAACATAAGTGAAATTGGAGTGCCTTCATGCACACGTGCATTTGTAGAGTTATGACATCTCCGCTGTTTTGTCGCCCATCCATTTTTTTGTTTAAATGCACTCACTGTTGCCTTTTCGAAAGCCAGCAGTTTATTTATATGTTTGTTTTTTCACATGCTGATGACAAGCGTTGCAGCAGTCGGTGTTTTCACACTGAGAGAAACACACCGACGCACTCTAAATTCAATAACTTAACAAACCTTGTATTTAATTCACTACCTTTAAGGCACCAAAAACGTTTCACGTAAAACAGTTGCCACAGTACCGAGTACAGCCAACCTTGATTTTTTTTTATTCTCATTTCTATATATATATATATATATATATATACTCTTTTATTTGCAAATACCGTTGTACCACGTTGTTGACAGCAGAATAAAAACTGCAGCCCCACCGATTTTTCCGCGCTGTTTTCGCGATTCGTTGTACGCGCCGTTGCTAGGATCACCAGTCTACCAACATAACTAGAAAACGAAAGAAGCAATAAGTAGAAATAGCAGTCAGTATCCTGCATTGGCGACACTGGCAAGCTATGTATTGTATTTATACTTTGTTTCATCGTGTGTTGAATTGCAGTGGAAGGTTTGGCTTCTACAGCCAATCAAGCGCAAGTCAGAAGTGACGTCACCAGGTTCTTTAAGCGTGTATCAGTGCGTGACGTCACCTTTGAACTGGCTCTTGATTAGCAGTGGGGGCCCCCAGCCTTCCGATGCGAAAGGCCAAACGCCTTATTAGTCCTTGCGGATGGAGATCGCCATCTAGCGGAAGGAGACCAAAATGCAAAATGCATGAAAATTAGTGAAAACTTGCTTTCAGAAAAATCGCTGTAGCTCGAAAACGGATTAACCAACACCAATTATTTTCATTCCTATCGATTCTGTATTAAATTTTATAGAAAATAGCGCGAACACAATTCTATTTTTTAAAAATTAGTGCATTATGTAAACTGAACCCAAAAGTGTCAAAGTAATCGTTTTAGTCGCTTCCCGATTTAAATATATATATATATATATATATATATATATATATATATATATATATATATATACACTAAATACTTAGAAATATGGTCTTCAGCAATGCACCAATTATGTATTAATCTCTTTGTCGTAAAAGTTTCAACCACATACAAGAAGCGGTTCTCATGTAGGAATCTTTTTTAAACATCAAACATCTGCATGTATTCTTTATGGCGTTTGGAGGTACTATGCCCTCCTAAAGACGGAGATAACATCAGGGCATAATGTTGCTTAAAAAACAGCCAACTCGCTGAATGCCCGTGGGATATATTTGACCAGCTTGGACACTCACAGCCTCGGCATGCCGGCAGTTAAGGAGGCAATGTGAGCTGGTGCACCCACTCATTTCCCATTCACAAAATTTTTAGAGTCGACTCAATTGATTTGCTACAACTTTGTTAAATGCCTCCCATGTAAATGGGTGGGTTTCGAATGCATTGTTACATAGGGACACATATACTTTCGGCTTAAAGGCCAAATGGGCAACTGTGTTTATTCTTGGCCTGTTTTGTAACTACTTGGCAGAGTGAAACTTTGTTTGATCAAATTTTTCTTCGTTTTAACTTGTGTTCTATTGTTAATTTCTACTCTGTTTTGTTTCCTGCTGGGCTCTGTGTATGGTGGTGGGGCCTCGTCCAGGTGAATCTTTACCTTTTGCCCCCTCACCCGAGACTGAAGGAGTCTCGGGTGAAGGTCAGGGGCCTGAAACTCATTTGAGTGTGGGGGCCAAATAACACATCCCTAAAGAGTCGAGGCAAAGCCACCTAGAGGAGGAAAGCCTGGGGGCTCCCGCGATCACGTGGGTCTACGTCACCGCTACTCGGCCTACGGTTCGGCCGCGGTGTAGTTCCGTTCCGGCTCGGCAGATGGAGCCGGCTTGCTTCGGCGTCTTTCCAGAACGTTCCGCGGCTTCTTTCGGCGTGTTCGGAGACGCTTGGTTTTGTCTCGGCTGTTTTCTTTGTTTGTCTTGTTTTAAACGTCGCACAACTTGTGAGTGCTCTGCGTTTTGTGCGCGATGATCAAGTGCTCTTTCCGTCATGCCTGACAAATGCTGTGTGCCTCGGTGTAACGGTAATTACAAAACGGGGCCCAAAGTGCACGTGTTCGGACTCCCCAAAGATGAAGCGCTGCGGAGTGCCTGGATAAACGCCATCCCCCGAGAAAACCTGATCGTTTCCCAGAGAACGAAGGTGAGGAATTCCCATTTCCAATTGTTTATCTCGCATTCGTAGTGGCATAGCGCCATTTGGACGGGCTAGCAATAGAAGGGTTGTGGGAATAGGCGATAACGGCGACATGTAGCGCGTTTAGTGGTAAGTCGCTATTATTTATACGAAGGGTATATATCTTTATAGGTGTGCGAGCGTCACTTCTCCGACGACGACGTTCTTCGGGAGGTGTCTCACGTCGACGAAGTTACCGGGAGGACGGTGACTGCGCCGCTGTCTAGGGTGCGCCTTCGCCCAGGCGCAGTTCCATCGAAGTTCCCTGGCTGTCCAGATTATTTGTCGAAGCACCATGCGAGAAGAGAAGACCCGGACAGCAAGCGATTGCGTCAAGAGGCTTCTGCAATGGAAAGAGCGCTTGCAGAGTCGATCGATTCATTTCGCAATGAGGAAGAAGCGGATCGAATACTCAGCATAAAGGACTTGTCCGACCACTTGAAAAACGTAAAATCGGCATTCTGGCATGTTATTGAGGGCAATGGACACCTCACTCTGGTGCACATTGTTGAGACTGAGGCCCCTTGGATAAAATACTCGATCGTCGTGAAGCCTGACCTTACACTAACTCTACATTTTGCGAAGATTCAGGTCACAAGGTTGGGCTCCAACTTGCTCATACCAAGAATCGCAAACAGCAAGAGGGGAGTTGTAGAACTACTCGAAAGTGTCGAAAATTGGGACAACGATCTTGAGTCAAGCTCTGAAAGCTCGCACAACGATATCTGTGCCACGATTCGTTTTCTGCTTGACAAGCTGCCCGCGACGCAAAGCGAAGATCAAGCAGCGGTCATCCAACTGCTCGCCGAGCAACTGAAGCTGATTTCTTCCAAGAAAGAGCGAAGGCGTTATTCAGTGGATTTTATGGTGTTTGCATGCATTCTTTTCACAATATCGCCTCATGCATACCAGTACATCCGTAGCTCTAAAAGCATTGTTCTGCCACACCCTAGGACAATCCGATCGATATGCTCCTCGTTTGGAATGAGCCCTCAAAACGAGCAGCAAAGTTCAAGTTTTCTCAGCTACATGGCAAAGAGGATCTCTGACTTGAACGATGACCAACGCTATGTGACCTTGATGGTGGACGAGGTCCACATCAAACCGTTTTTTGATTATAAAGGAGGTAGCATTGTCGGTGTCGCACTTAATTCCACAGAAGTAGCGAATAGTGCGTTCGTGTTTATGGTGCAAAGCATCAAGTGCCAATTTAAGGAAGTCGCTCACGTCGTACGCGTGCACGGAGCCAACGCCGAGTTTCTGCACAAGTTGCTTAGAGACGTGATTTGCGGGCTTGAGAAAATCGGGTACCGAGTGATGTGCGTCGTAACGGATAACAATGCAGTGAATCGAAAGGCTATGGCTCTCTTTATGAGCTCGATGGACAGCCACGACACGCCTGGTACAACAACGCGCAACCAGGACACGCCTGACACAACGATGCGTCGTTCAAACGAGTTCTGCTACCCACATCCGTCTGATCCCAACAGGCCGCTGTTTTTTGTGATCGACACTGTACACATAATCAAGTGCATACGCAATAATTGGCTGAAGCAAGACGATCAATGCTTCTGGTTCCCCGAGCTTCATGCTGACACGGAAGGCCAGCGGCGCATGCTGTGTGCGTCGTTCAAAACCATCAAAGCTGCCTACGACTTGGAATGTGACCAACTGCTGCGCTATGGATACAAAGTGTCAAGGAAATCCCTTTGCCCGTCGAGTATTGAGAAGCAGAACGTGAAACTTGCTCTCCAGATATTTGACAGCTCTCTTCCCAGTGCCCTCCGTGCCATTGGAGAGAAACACAACCTGAAGTTTTTCAAGGAGACGGCCACTTTCATTGAAATTATAGTAACGTGGTGGAAAATTGTCAATGTAAAGACACCCGGCAAAGGAAGCAGGCTGAAAGATCGGTTCCAAGAACCTGTGCGCCCGGCTCCAGACGACGAGAAGGTAGATTTTCTCTACGACATTTTAGACTGGTTGGACGAATGGCAGAAAAATGCAAACAACTGCAAATTGACCGACAAAACTCATACCGCACTGCACCAGTCAACTTACGCGCTTCTCGAAATATGCAGGGACTGCTTCGAAGAACTCAACCTGTCCTACGTCCTCCTCGGGAAATTTCAGACGGACTGTTTAGAGGACCGCTTCGGAAGGTACCGGCGGCTGGCAGGTTCCCAATACCATATCTCAATACGACAGCTTTATGAAGGAGAAAACAAGCTTCGGCTGCAGAACACACTTGCACCGATTGGCAAAGCTTCTGAAACAGAGAGAGATGAAAAATGGGAGGAAATGCAAAAACGACGAGACGCGCCGCGCCCTAGCTACAACATAGTAGTAACAGAAGACTCCCTTTCAAAAATAAAAGACATCGTCCCCGTTCTAGCCTATGTGGCAGGATATGCGGTGTACGCGACGGTGAAGAAGCTAAAGTGCGAGAACTGCAAAAATGCCCTGACAACAGACCACACGATCACAGCCGCCACCGGCCATGAGCACTATCATCTCATCAAAGAGATTGACAGAGGAGGCCTTCTGTACCCAGCAATGACCGCAGTCAATGCCGTCGCCCACAACTACGTTGTCGTGGAGGAAATGTCGAAGCGGGTGGACTTCTTAACGATGAGCAACCAACGCCAGCTGGTCACGGAGCTCACACTGGACTTGCTAGTCGACGAGGATTGCGACTTCGATGTGTGTGAAGAAGGACACACGAGTGAGGTCGTGCTGAAACATCTGTTGTGGTGCTCTACAAACATTCTACTAAAAAACTTTTGCCGCAAGCTCAACGACAAAGTTGTCGAAACGAACAACAAATCTAAGAAACGAAAACTGGCCACGTTAACAAAAAAATGATGTGGATATTCTAGCATGCACAGTGACAACCGTTTTGTTCGAGATTTCTAACGCGCGAGTCAATAAACACGCGTTTGTGCCGAAAAACTGGAGTAATTGCTACCCTTGAGCGCTGCTCCGCGGCGCGCTTCGGCTTCGCCTAGGCCGACTAGCGTGACGTCACGCGCGGAGAGCCCCGGCCTTCCGCTCTAGGTGGCTTTGGTCGAGGGCCAACCTAAGGCGGAAAGGGAAGGAGGGGGGGGGGGGGCTCAGAGATTTTATAAAGGAACTTCATGTTTTCTGCTTTTTGCCAACTCAGTTTTTCCAGTGATATCTTTAACTTTGATTTGTTTATAGGACTACTTTGGACCTTTACCTGTTGTGATAACAAGTTAGGATGCCGCCGCCCCGCCAACTTGCTAGCATTTTTAATAGAACAATTCACTCTGAAATTAGCCGAACTTAGCATGTCCAAAAAAATATATACTTCATTTGTCAGTTTCTGCTTTCCTCAGTAGCAGCAATCACAGAAAATACTTGTATTTTAATGGTGATATACTCAGATGGCGGGAATAGTAGAGGGATATCCGTATAGGGGATTAACATGGTAAAAAGTTGGAAAGCAAAAATTAAAGCAAGGCAGGTTAGAACTATAAGAGAAGAGTTATGTTTCGTGCGGAAGTGAATCGACGACATGAAATATGGCGTATGTCATTTGTAGCTCTCTAGACATTGTAAAGGGGGCTTGCAGCCGGTTGACTTCGGGCCACGTCCCAGCGAGTGGCGGGCCACATGTTTGAGACCCCTGATCCGTGTATACACTCATCAATCCATGGTCTATCAATGTTTCAACATACCCTTTCTGATTCTCCACCAAGAAGAACTTCGAATACATTCTGCTCATTCTTGCTGATTGAAACATGCACAAAGTGCGGTCCAATTGGAAGTTCTCTGAGGTTCAGAAAGTTTCACCTTTACTTGTTTACATAAGAATGCCATGTTTACACATTTGGTCAAAATGTGGATGGATAGAAGTATGGACATCAACGACTGTACCCTTTATGACAGGCATTTGCTTGTGCCACCTAACCTAAAACATAAAAATTGTGATTCTGCCCCTTTTAGGCCAATGCTTTTCTGTAAATATCCCCGGGGCGTGGGGGTGGTTGCTGAGATGACCTTCAAGGGATAGGGCAAAAAATACTGAAAACACACCACCCTTCTCTTCCCCCCCGTTGAGGGAGTCGCCAATTTTCTGTTGGCGTCGCCCCAACACCTGACACACTCGGGTACAGGGTCCTCGTGGCTGTAGCCCAGACCTTGGGCTACAGCCACCGAGGAAGGGAGTCAAAATTTTTCTCGTGTCCCCCCTGTTCTTAAATCACTTTTCCCCATATAATTTTCACCGGCACTCTAACCTCCTCTCCGTTGCCTCTACTTTACTGTAATTCAAACTGCCACCTCCAGCGAAACTCAGGACCCCCGTTTGTCTGTCACCCCTTTGGCAATGGGAGCACTAACTCATTACCGCTTAGAATTGCATGTTCAAGTGTTTATCTCCTCTTTACACCGTGACCCACAATCATCTATATTTTCAAATTTAACCCTGTATGGTTTATTCAGTTTAGATGGAAAGAGAATATTAAACGAATTGACAACGGAGAAAAATATTTTAGACCTATATTTATGGCGCAAAACGAAGTTGAAGTTGGCGCCTGCGGGAGTCGCCGCTGGTCACGTGTTAAGGCCCATACGCACATTCGCGTTTGAGCGCGGTGCGTTCTGTAGCGGCAAGCGGACGCGTTGCGTTGCGAAGACCGCTTGCGCCAAACTTGTACGCACAGTTGCGTTGACACGCAGTCAACCGCAGTCAAGAGCCAACTAGAACGCGCTATCGCAACACCGCATAGACAGAAGGCCTCCACACGCGTCATCATAGCAAAGGAAAAAAAGTTTTTTTTTTAGAAAGCAGTTTAGATGGAAAAAGAATATTAAACGAATTGACAACGGGGAAAAATATTTTAGACCTATATTTATGGCGCAAAACGAAGTTGTAGTTGGCGCCTGCGGGAGTCGCCGCTGGTCACGTGTTAAGGCCCATACGCACATTCGCGTTTGAGCGCGGTGCGTTCTGTAGCGGCAAGCGGACGCGTTGCGTTGCGAAGACCGCTTGCGCCAAACTTGTACGCACAGTTGCGTTGACACGCAGTCAACCGCAGTCAAGAGCCAACTAGAACGCGCTATCGCAACACCGCATAGACAGAAGGCCTCCACACGCGTCATCATAGCAAAGGAAAAAAAGTTTTTTTTTTAGAAAGCAGTTTAGATGGAAAAAGAATATTAAACGAATTGACAACGGGGAAAAATATTTTAGACCTATATTTATGGCGCAAAACGAAGTTGTAGTTGGCGCCTGCGGGAGTCGCCGCTGGTCACGTGTTAAGGCCCATACGCACATTCGCGTTTGAGCGCGGTGCGTTCTGTAGCGGCAAGCGGACGCGTTGCGTTGCGAAGACCGCTTGCGCCAAACTTGTACGCACAGTTGCGTTGACACGCAGTCAACCGCAGTCAAGAGCCAATTAGAACGCGCTATCGCAACACCGCATAGACAGAAGGCCTCCACACGCGTCATCATAGCAAAGGAAAAAAAGTTTTTTTTTTAGAAAGCAGTTTAGATGGAAAAAGAATATTAAACGAATTGACAACGGGGAAAAATATTTTAGACCTATATTTATGGCGCAAAACGAAGTTGTAGTTGGCGCCTGCGGGAGTCGCCGCTGGTCACGTGTTAAGGCCCATACGCACATTCGCGTTTGAGCGCGGTGCGTTCTGTAGCGGCAAGCGGACGCGTTGCGTTGCGAAGACCGCTTGCGCCAAACTTGTACGCACAGTTGCGTTGACACGCAGTCAACCGCAGTCAAGAGCCAACTAGAACGCGCTATCGCAACACCGCATAGACAGAAGGCCTCCACACGCGTCATCATAGTCAGATCGATCGAGGCGAGAGATTGGGCACGAGTGCTGCGTCAGTGTTCGGCTGCGGCTCGTGGCCAATCAGCGCGTCGAAGGTCGGACTCGGGTCCAATAGCCGACCGAGTGCGATCTGACTGTGATGACGTTTCATAGAGGAAGAGGAAACCATGCGGAGGCCTTCTGTCTAGGTGGTGTTGGCTAGAGTAACTGTATAGGCTCTGCTTGCAGAGTCTATGCTCCGCAAGCGGAGCATATACAGCTACTCTAGTGTTGGCTATCGTCGCTAGTGGCTCACCAATAGTAAGCGAAATCCAAGGCAACATGGCGGCGCACGGCGACAGCGTCGAAGTGTTCGATCTTGGGACAATCTCGCCGGCTTCCTCGACGTTTTGTCAAGCTTCAACCATCGCAGCCTTGGAAAATACAGTCCCCACCGCTCCCCAAAACGAAAAAGCAAGCACTGCGACCGGCAAACCGCATACGTCTCGCCGAGTCGGCCGGGTGGGGCGTGCGAACGCGTCACCCCCTCTTCTTTCGGCTTCTGATTGGTCGAACGCACCCGAACGCACCGCAACGCTTCGCAAAGTTGAGCGAGTCTCTACTCGCTTGCGTCGCGCTACCGAGCCTTGCGGGAAGGCTCGCGTCGCTCCGCAAGCGACCGCGCCTGGCCGCAAGGACTCCGCAACGCACTCAAACGCGTTCAAACGCAAATGTGCGTATGAACCTTTAGGCCTGTGCGCCGCCGCTCTGCGTCGCCGTTGCCGCAAAAGTCACGCCACCGCCAAACGCTGAGCGTGTTGCGACTTGCGAGTCGACGCCGGGTCAACGCGTTTCTCCACGCCGCTGTCGCCGCCGTCGCACAAGTTCGTCTGCTTCGGGGTGCCACCGCCGTCGTCTGACCGGCGCACAGGTCTATCACGTCTGCTTGCGCTTTTTGAGGAGTTTCCTTTGGACACTAAAAGTTACTTATTAAACATTTTTTTTTTTTTTTTTTATATAATTCAAACGAAGATGAATAAGTTACTTTTAGAGGCTATAGGAAGCGTCCGAGAAAGCGCAGCACCACGTGACAAATAGCGGCCCCTTTTCTGCGGCACCCGCGGCCGTCAACTACAAATTAGTATATATCGCTCTATTTTTTTTTTTTTCGTTTTAAATTCGTGTTATGACTTCCATTTCCCAACCAGGACGCTAAAAGAAAATGTTTTCTTCCTTTGCATGCGTCCTTTAAGACTCCTGTCCTGGCCTATTCCATCTAAGTGCTCCCTCTGGAATTATCGCCTTGCCAATGTGTGCCCACGGTTACCGGACTGATTTTCAGCAAAAACGTGGCTGACCGTAAATGTGCATAGACGGAAGAGGCCAGCTAAGCTAGAAAAGCGGCCACAGATGCCAAACCTGAAGAACATCGTAACGGAAGGAGAGAAGGAAAGGTTACTCATTTGGCTGGAAAGCCCCGACAAATCGAGCCATTGATCGGTGCCAAGTTCCTGTGCTTTTCGAAGAAAGCACAACCAACAGCAGACTGTAGTGAAGCTCTTGGTGAACTCTGTAACCAAAAATCTTAACTAAGCTTTTTTTTTTTTTTATTAGTGGACCCTTTTTGGTGTTCGTATTAATGAAACAAACCTGCACGTATTTATCCGGTTTGTTCCCAAAACTAGCTGTGCATAGTTTGGACAGCGGGTTTTAATATTCACGAGGCAGAGTTGCATGGGGAGGGATTTGTACCCAAAATTGTGTCTATTCGCGGCGATAACCACGCAAGGGGAGCCACTGAGCAGCATGTGAATGTCACGTGATACCCTGAATGTGAGAATGCCGGGTTTGTTTACGTCGCGCGCGCCATGGCGGTACGGCGTGATCGCTTGCTTTCGGGCGCGCCGCGGTGGTTCGTTATTGTTCCATCATCGGTGGCACAACACACGCGACCAAAAAAGGTAAATTTTCCATCCATATCCGAGAGAAAAATGACTGGGGAAGTAGAGATGAAAATAAAACAGCGCAAAATGGTGTGGGCGAGCTCGATGGTGTGCTTGAACCACTTATCAGGCGCTTTCACGACTAATGGTGTTGTATCTTTTATTATGTTTTGATTTCCTTCGCAAGTGTCTGTTTCGTCCTTCGTACAGATTCCACTGGTGGGGCTCGGCGCCAGCGATAATCCGATAATCCGCCTTTCCTCTTCCCCCACATCTGAATGTCTGTCTTCGTGTCG